GAGCAACCTGGTGCAGTTGGGACGGGCTCTGAGGTCCCTCCCAACCCGTCCCCTTCCACGGCTCCGTGCCCAGCCCTGACCTGGTCGGTGAGGAAGGAGGGTTTGTAGGTGCCGTCGGTGGAGGTGTTGCCGGTGCCGCGCAGGGACTTCATGTGGGACACGGCCATGCGCAGGATGGTCAGCTTGTCCGGCTTGCGGGCCAGGGCGCTGCACGTGGGCACCATGTCCGACAGCTCCGTGATGTAGGCAGTCATCTTGTTCCTCCTCCTGCGCTCGATCTCGCTGTGGTTCTCCCTGCAGGAGCCCCGGGGCGGGGGGGAGAAGAGGAGGAGGAGGAGGATGAGGTGGGAAGGCTGGCACGGGTGCCGCACACGGAGATGCGCCGCCGGGTTAGCAGGAAGGAAGGCTCACATGCTGGGCGTGCACAGGGAGCAGGGATGAGGGCGAGGGGAGAGGCTACACCTGGACCTTCTGGGCTGAGGACCTTGCTCGGAGTCACAGCGGCTCCCCGGGACCAGCAGCAGCTGGTTTGGCTTCCCCCTCCACTCCACAGCGTGCAGGAAGCCAAAGGGATTCCTCCTCTGCTCTCAGCAGTGCAGGTGAGGGGGACTGAGCCCCACTGTCCATCCCAGGATGGAGGAGATCCCTGAGATCCCCTCCACCATCACCCCTCGCACCCCCAGAGCACAGCTGCAGCTAAAACTGGGGCAACTGCTCTTCTGGGCAACCTGGGCTAGCGGGAGGTGTCCCAGACCATGGCAGGGGGTGGGGCTGGAGAAGCTTTAAGGCCCCTTCCAACCCAAACCATTCCAGGATTCTGAGGAACTTCCATCAGCTGAGCCTCATCTCGTGGTGCTTTGGGGAAGAGACTTCTCAGTTACAGCAAGAGCCTTTCACAGAATCTCAGGAGGGAAACTCAAGAGCAGGTCACACCTGATTTCTGCACAGATCAACCTGGGCAGACCACGGGCCAGGCAACACCAACCTCTAAAGAGACACCACGGCGATTCCTGCCCCCTCAAAGAGGTTCTTGGCACCCCTTTGGCTCACAGGGTACAGCCCCCATCGACCCCACAGACCAGAACCTGCTTCTTTTTATCCAGAACACGTCAATTAACTGGGTTCCTAAGGTGGGTTTTCCAAAACAGAGCTCAAAAGCCAGGTTTCCTGTACAGGAGGATGGATCAGGTGCAAGGAGGCACACGGTGGGAAGTGAAATGAGGTGGAGGTGTTGGAAGGAACCAGGACAGGCAGGTGAATAAAGAGGATAAATACAAAAATGGAGCGTTTCTCTCTACCAGCTGTGTGCAAACACTCAGTGAACTCCCCTCTAATTCATTCATTCATTCAGTGACCTCACCTTTAAGGTGTCCCTGCCAGGAGTGAGATGAGCTTTAAGATCCCTTCCAACCCAAACCATTCCACGGCTCTATGAGATATTCTTCAGTAGAGGCTCCTGGGAACAATCCCTTGGCAAGCTTTGCTGCTTCCCTGGATTCCCAGGCCTCACCTCCACGGCTTCCTGATCTCCCAAAGCACACTGCAGCCACCAGAGGCTGCCTGGAGGGGCAGGTTTGGGTTTAAACACAGCCAGAGGGCAACAAACTGCCCAAAACTGGGGCATTCTCAGCACCCAGGATGGGTTTTTTAGCCCTGGGCTTTGCCTCAGAACAAGTCAGGGGTGGAACAGTCTTAAAGAGCGACAGGTCCCTGAACTAACACCCCTTTTTGTGCCTGTTCCCTGAGTCCAACAGCATTCCTGGGACACAAAACCTTTCCCAGGTTAGCCCTTGATGCAGGACCAGGGAAGCTGTGTTTAGCACAGGTGTGAAAGCAAGAGCCCAACCCTGGGGCCTTTGGCAAATAGATCCTTCTGTGTATTCCCTAAAAACACTGTCCCAAAGCTGAGATGTGCCTTTCCTAAATGCCTTTCCCCTCCTAATTTCAATTCCACAGCAATTTCCAGGAGTCTGTTAAGTCCTCTGCAGCAGATGAGGGAAGAAGGGGGGAAAAAAAAAAAAAGAGAAGGGATGCCTAGAGAGACATTAAGGAAAGGAAAACTCTGCTTGTCCATGCTGGAAATCTCCATTCTCCTACCTGGCAAGTCTCTCCTTATCCGCTGAACTCTGCTCATCATCAGACCTAAAAATAAAATCAGCCAGCTAAGCTAAAAATGGAAAAAAAGTTGAAAGAAATGGAAAAAATAAAAATGGAAAGATGGACTAGGAAACCCAGCCTAGGGACAGGTCTGTTTTGCAGAGGAGCAGTTCCATAAAATAAAACAGTCATTAGTTTGCAATACTCCACATTTAATTGGTGCCTGATGTGTGTTGGAGTTTTAAGACATTTACTGAGTTCTAATTTGCTCACCAGTTTCTAATATTAGAAATATTCTACTCTCTCTAACATATTTCTAACTTGCTTGACTTCAGAATGACTCAAACCACTTTAAAAAGCTGGAGAATCCCAGCTTGGAATTCCCTGTAGCCCTTTGCAGGGAACAGCAGGGCAGTGACCCCCAATTTAGGCACTGCTGGGGCACCTCCAGTCCTGGGGGCAGCTCAGGGCAAGACAGACACTGAGGGGCTGGAGCGTGTCCAGAGAAGGGAACAGAGCTGGGGAAGGGGCTGGAGCACCAGGAGAAGGGGCTGGAGGACTCCTGAGGGAGCTCAGCCTGGAGAAAAGGAGGCTCAGGAGGGATCTTCTCACTCTGCAACTCCCTGGGAGGAGGTTGGAGCCGGGGGTGGTTCAGGATCTTCTCCCAGATAACAACAGGACGAGAGGAAACGGCCTCAGGTTGTGCCAGGGGAGGTTTAGGTTGGATATCAGAGCTACTGTCAGACACCAAAAAGGAATCAAGAGCCCAAATATTCCCTACAATCTCCGGGAAACTCCCAATTTGTAAAGCTTCTGCCCAATTCCCCATAAAACACACAACCCCAGGAAACCCTGTTCAAGGACAACTTGTAACTAAGCAGGAAACTTGTATCTCTGCAAGTTCCTGGAGCAGGAGAAAAGAGGGAGAGTCCGAGGCCAGAGCTGAAAGGAAAGGTGCAAAAGAGCAACATCATTTCAACACACTCCATGAGCTGTCCAGGAACACCAAGGAAAACGTGTGGATCCTTTGGAGCACCCTCAGAGGGAGATGATCCAACGGCCAGTGAGAAAGGTGCTGCAGGATCTCTCCTGAGTTAAGGGGGTTTGGCACAAAAAGCTTTCAAACCAGCAAGTTCTTACCTGGCAAATCTCTCCTTATCGTTTGGCATCGGGTCATCGTCACACCTAGGAGAAAGGGAGAGGGTAAAGTGGTTACAATTCCTTCTTTCCCCCAAAAAAACCCACGGAGAAAACAAGGTTTAATAAATCAAACAAAGAGGGCCTGGTGTTAAAAACTTGGCTGTGAGTGGACAATGTTCAGTTGTCTCCTCCAAACCCCGTGGTTGAGCTCTGGGCATCCCCTCCATGGGGTTTTCCACCCCACATTCCTATCAGGGATGGGAGGGATCACACTCAGTTCAATCCCATAAAAAGGAATATGTTAAACTGCACTTGCAGGATGAAGGTCACCCAGACCAAGACCTTCATCCCAGGGGCTTCCATAGGTAAATCCTACATTCATCCTGGAACCATCCCACAGCCCTCCTTAAAGCACTGGAACACGTGGGGTTCCAGCATAATTATTCAATCCTAAACCACGTAGTGAGGCTACAAATAAATGACACAAGACATTCCAGCTCTTCTGTGTTCCATATGGATCACGAGGAGATCCTTGCAGCCCCGCCAGCTCCCTGGGAATAAGGATGCCTCTGGAACTGAAGCATCCTTACAACAGATGAGGGTGAATTAACACGTGTCTGAGGCAGTGACAAAAGCTGCAGAGCTGGGGGATTTCTGCTGACTGGGAGAAAGGGAAGAGTTGAAGGAAGTGGAGCACTTCCCGCTGCTTCCAGAGAGGAAAAGCCACAGGAGCAGCAAGATCCTGCTCCAGGGAAAACACACAGACACCCCCAAGACCATAGGACAGAAACTTGTGGATGCCACGTTCTCCCTCACCTGAGGAATTTACTGTTCCCTTCTCCATCATCATCAAAGTCCAGCCTGAAAAACAAAAGGAAGAGGAACATTATTAACCCAGTGGTTTCTCCTTTAAGTTGCTTCTCTGTCTGTCCTTATGGATGCAGATGATTCCTGAAAGGAAGAATTAAGTACTCCCAAAATGATTAAGTGATCCCAACGTGAAACAACCCACAAAGTCTGGAAAGGGGTTTCCTTCAGGTGTCTATCAGGAACAGAGCAAGGAAAAACAGTTCCAAAGGAAGAAAAGCTGCTTGGAGCACCCACTGCATCCCAGCCTCCTGTTCCAAAAGCTCTGGATCTCCTGGGAGACAGCCAGGCCACTCAAGAGAGTGTTCCCTGCTCAAAAGCCTGCATTGGGTGCACTTAAAATAAAATAAAAAAAAAAAGAGAAGAGGGTAAAACTTTCCTGGAGTTAAAGTTCAGTTGGTGCCTGTTTGCTCACACAGGGCCAAACCCCCAGTTGTGACAAGGAGGAAGGATTTCCCACCTTTCCTTCTGGGATGGAAAACTGGGGATGCAGGGTGGGAGGAGCTGCAGGGGAGTGGGAGCACCAGCAAATGGGGCTGAGGGAAAGAGTTTGAGTGACTGGGAAGGGCCAGGAACAGATTTGAGTTTGCTTAAAAATTACGAGGCCATTTCTCGTGCCAGGAATCTGGGAACAGCCTCTCCAGCCCCTTTGAATTTGCAAAGGCATTTTCAGCAAACAAAAAGCCTCCCACAAGCACATTGTGGCTTCCCCACACCCCTCCCAGGGACGGCACAGCTGCAAAGGTTGGAGTAAGGCCCCAAAATCCAGATTCCCCGTCCCTCCACATCCTGCAGCAGCTGCTGTTGCTGCTTCGGCGACTCCTGTTTCGCTCTCAATCCCTGGTGTGTGTTTGCTCCTCCTCCAAGGTGCAACTCAGCTTTCAATGCCTGTTTGGGCTGGACTTTAACCTCCTCTTTAAGGGGTGTATCTGGCCCAAAGATATCACCACGAAGGAAAAGGGCTGGATAAATCCCACCCTTGGAGGAGCCAGGAGACGTCTCAGAATCAGCCACGTTTCCCCCTCCCAGGGCTCTTCCCAGCCAAAAGCTTCTTCAAAAAGCCCCTTTTCCCCCAAAAAAGCACACCCCTGAGCACACACTCACCCAGGTCTCCTCTTGCTGCCCCTCTGAGCCACGGCCCCTCCAGGCTGGGCTCCTGATCCGGGGGTCCCGGAGCCGACGGCTGCGCCCAGCGAGGAAACGTCCGATGCCATTTCTGAACAGGAGAGGGGAAAAACAACCAGGAAAATCAACCAGGATTTTGTCCAAACCCCTCTGGCTCAGTGGAACACCCTCCCCACTAGAAGCAGTTGTGTGTCAGCATCTGCTGGGGCTGATTTGGGCCGATGTGTGCCTGTGTCCTTTCATGTGCTGCTCCGAGGGGAGCGGAGCACACGCTGCTTTTCCCTGGGCTGGAACGGCCCGAGGCTGCCAAGTTAAAAGATGTGGAATCCTTTTTGGAGAGAGGAGGAGCCTGGTGGGAGCCCCTTGGAATCCTTTTTGGAGAGAGGAGGAGCCTGGTGGGAGCCCCTTCTCATCCCTGGCTGCACGAGCACGAAGGAGGGGAGGAGCTGAGCTGCAGAGTTTCCCCTCACGAAACACCAACCTACAGAGGGTTTATTTTCCAATCCCAGACAAAGAATCACCCGAAACGCTCCAAAAACGCCTCAAACCCGCCCTGGTTCAGCTGATCCCTTCTGGTCTGCACCAGTACAGACCAGTGGGCACCAGTGGCACCATCACCCACCTGCCTGTGCCCTTGCACAGCTGCTGGGAGCACCCTGGGTTGGTGGGAGGTGTCCCAGCCGAGGTCCAGGGGATCTCTAAGGTCCCTTCCACCCCAAACCAGTCTGAGGGTTCCATGATTTCGTTTTCCTCTCTTTTTCCCTAACCCTGACTGGATCCTGAATGGATCACGGGCTCTGGAGTAATTTCTCAGCCTGGTTTATGCTGAAACCACATCACAAGAGCTGCAACCCACGTCCCCCTGCACTAAATCAGATTATTCTGCACCACAGAAGGAGTTTTTAAATCCACTATAAACCACTTTCCCCCATTTCTGAAACAAGTCAGCTCTGTGCTTGTTTTAATGGTCGTGAATCTGCTGCTGAACTGCCCCAAAACAGCCACTCCAGCCCGAAAATCTCCACCACAACCTTTCAAAAACGGAGCCTGAAGCAAAACCACTTGTGCTTTACCAAAGCAGAGAGGCCCCAACCCCACCCCAACAGCCCCAAAAACCCCAGTGCTGGGCTCCCA